AAACTAATTTCAGCCTTTTTATAATATAAGTAAAAACAGATGTCCTGATAGGAAGAGGTTTTCTAAGAAAAGCTTTGAATAAAACAAGACATCTGTAGGGAGAGCTTAGTTTGTGTAAGATTTCTTCTAAGTAGGGAAATTTATTAAAAATCCGTTCTATTTGGAGACAACTTTAGTACCAGACTTGATAGGGATTTACAGACCGCCCTCTAACCTTTTGGGATTTTTCAGCTCAGTGAGCTGAATTGTGGGGATAACTAACAGTTATACAGGTGTACCTAGTAAATAAGCTCACTAGTGTGCAGCATATATTTGCTTCTTTATAGCTGTAGCGCTCAGGCCACAGTGTTGCAGCTCGGCTTACCTGCCGATCAAACTGGGAGTACTAGTGGGTGAAATATGCAGGAATTAATTCCACATTTAATTTAAGTTGCTCATCTTTCCTTTCAGATTTGAAACAGTATGAAGTTGAATTGGGACAATAATAACATGCAGAAATGATTCCTGTTAAGTATAAGTGTGCATCCTGGTTCAATGAGTTCACCAGTGAGCATGCCTCACTGAGTGCCTATTCAGTGATGGAGTGGCTGTGAAGTGTTGGCCAATTTCACTCTTAACTTGGACGACCTGAGAATCAGGGACTCTGTTTACCGGGGGTCATGATCCACCAATACAAAGCTGCTTTCCTTTAGGATCATTAATAGGAATCTATTTCCCTCACACTGCTTCTTTAGAAGGCACCAACTTTGATAGAAATGGAATGTGGGCTCTCACAAAGACTATAAATATTATAGGAGAATACTTTGTTCTGTTTTTATGATAAGGATTTTTTTCTTTCTTATGATGTACATTTAAGGTGAAAATTTAGTTCTACCAAATTTTTTGAGGTATAATGCAAGACCAAGCCCAATCTAGGCTATCAAATTCCAAAAAAAAACGATCTTCAGACTATCTTAAGCATGCCAAATCTGGTTGGAACTTCAGAGGGAAACAATTATTTTCAACAATAAAGAGCGAAATGGCTTCTTTTGGGGGTCCATTGTTTTAGATTCAGAAAGGATCTGTGGTTCTTTTCTGAGACAGCCCACAGGTCCCCTACAATTCCTTTTTAAACATCAACATTTGTACTAAGATATTCTTTCTGTCATGGTTTGTTGACATTAGGATCTATGAGAAGAATTGTGACAAAGTGGTTTAGTTTGTGTTTAACACTTGTCCCCTATTCTTTCTTCTGAATCTTTGTAATGCTTAAATTTAAACATTAGTTTGCAACTTTGACTTTCACATACTATCCCGGGTTTGTTTGTGTGAGCATTATGTTGCAGTTTCCATCTACTTTTGTTTAGGTTAAAGCTATTACTTCAGGAGTATTAGATGAAATTTTTTATTTTGTTTCAAATTATATTCATGGTATTTGTTTTCCTTTTTACTCACCATTGTTTAAGTATCTCCTACTAAATTGACTAAATGATGTCATCCATTACTTTGCTGGGTTCTACCATTTAGAGGGTTTCCTTTTGAGTTATGCTTTGTTTGTTTTTCTTTAAAGTAACTTTTTGAGTTATCTTGTTTCGCACTGTTTATTTTGCAGACTCTTTCTTTATGTAGATGAGTTTGTAAATTAGATTAAGTTTATTCTTGTTTCTCTGTTTAGACTTTGTTTTTTGTTTTTTACCTGTTTAATTGAGGCTTGGTCCACTCAAGTGCAGGTGTGTTGCATCTTGATTATTTAACCCTGAGCTCTTGGAAGCTTGTGGAAGAAAATGTTTTGTCAGAGAGAAAAGGAATAAAAGACAACAGAGAAATTGGAACCGGTGGCTGAAGCTGTTTTTTTTTTTTTGGTTCACCTTATTGACCCTCGACCAAAATACCTCACAAGCATCATCTCCTGGTAAAACCCTGTGAATCAGTGAAAGGGTGGAGTCAGTGTACAAAAATATGCAAGCTGGGGGTCACTCCGGTGGCTGGAAGTTGGAGGGGATTTTGCTGGGAGTTGCAGGGAAGGGGGCAGCCATTCGTCTGGCATTTGACTGGGAAGGGCCATTTTGAATGGCTGCTACTGTAGCAATCAAAGCAACATTGACAGTTGAATTAAAGCTTGAAGTTAACATGCATTAAACAGGGGTTTCCATTTGGAACTTCTTGAACTTTGAGTTACGATTTCATTAATCGGTTTCTTAGGCTGTGCCAATCAAAAGTCAGAAAGGATAATCTAGTTTAATCTCTCTTAACCATCCTTTAGTACAGTGGAGATTTTCTTAAAAAAAAAAAAAAAGTATATCTTATTTGCTTTAGTTTTATTCAAAAGAGTTTTTTATACCTGCATCTTCTGTGCAAGGTAAGCAGTATGGCTGAATAATGTTTTTCTTGTCTGATCTCTAAGCTTGTGTCCTTTCTTGGCCTTTTTTGTGGTGACATTTCTTAAAAGGTCAAACCATTATATGAAACAACCCTAATCGGATTCAGAATGCAGCAGAACATCATCTGGGGATGTGGCCTTGGTGGCTAGAGCAGACGCTTGTGTCCTGTGTTCTATTATCTGTGAATCCCACTTAGTAATACCTTTCGCTCTGACGTTTTACAGATTATATGGCCTTTTACAACCTATCATTAATATATTGTGATTATCACATAATGAGACCAGATAGAAGTGATTTAAATAACTCCCTGCTTGCTGTAATTTATAATGGCAGATCGCATTTCAGGAATCAAAATAAATGGGATTATGCAATTAAATGCTGTAGTAACTACATTAATGGCCATTCAATGTCCCCACTTTCCTTGATGGGCCCTTGGCAGGTCCTTGGCTAGTCCCCTCTAATTCCTTTTTGATCATTTAAAATATTTTTTCTGTCATGATTTGTGGACATTAAGATCTAATGTATTTCAGTAAAATGCTGGAGTCCGATTAAGAAAATATACACGCCCTTGAGAAGGCAACTGGCTGGAAGGTGGAGATTCCCTTTTTGCTGCGATTCGGATGACTTTTGACTGGGAAGGGCCATTTTAAATGGCTGCTACTGTATGTTATGTAATCAAATAGCTTTATGACTGTCAGGTGTTTTTCTGTTAACAGCTGAAAGTGTGATTCAAGCTGAAATCATGTTCAAACAGTGAACATTATTATATTTTTGAATACAAATTGTGTTTACTACAGCTTTCTAGACAGTAAATGTGTGGGAGAAAAAACATGGTGCAAAAAACGCATTGATACAATTCAAATCTATTCAATTC